CACACACACACACACACACACACACACACACACACCATGTGCTGTGTCTCTTTTTCCCAGAACTGTTAGCAGCAGCGGCCCAGAGAGGCTGAGTCACCTGCCCAGAGCCACACAGCTATCGGGCTGATTGCCAGCGGCTCCCAACCCCTACTGCATCTTTTCTGGGCAATTGTCTGAATGGTGCCAATCCCAGAAAAATGCCCCCTGAGGTCAAATAGATCTGAAGAATGTCCTGTTCATCCCTCTGGCTGGTTTACAGTACTCATTACTATTCTTTTTCTCCCCATGGTGCTGGGGATTGAACCCAGGGCCTCACACCTGCTAGGCAAGCTCTGTACCACTGAACTGCACCCATAGCCCTTTTATTTTGTTTGAGACAAAACAAAATAAAAGGGCCTAAGGGTGTTGCCCAAGGCTGGCTTTGGAATGTTCCACCCTGTCTGACTTCCTTACTGTTCTTAAATGCTTTATATCTGTGAAGTACCATTAGCAATTATTGTTATATTTGGGGGAGGATTTTTTATTTATTTATTTATTTTTTGCTGCAGTTCTGGAGATGGAACCCAAGGCCTTGAATGTGCAAGTGCTCTACCACTGAGCTCCTGCCCAGCCCCTCCTGAGCTTGGGGCCTGGGGGAGGGGGCCTCATTATCATTCTAAATGTTCAAAGAAGTCCTGCAAAGAAAGACACTCAGACTTTCTCTTCTCCCTTGTGCTATTTCAGAATTCTGAAAATAAGAGAAATGTTAATATTCTGTAGAAAATATGTTGCCACTAATCCTGATATCCAACATAGTGAATGATTATTGCTCTTATGATAAATGATCCATCATCACCACTGTTGATAATACCAGTGGGCTGCGGGTGTGGCTGAGTGGTAAAGCACTCTGGGTTCAGTCCCCAGTACAGGGAGGAAAGAATTTACTCCCTCCCCAAAACCAGGTAATACTTCCTGAGCGCTGGCTCCACACCAGTCCCGTGTGGCATGTCACTGGATCTTTCCAGCAGCCTTTTCTGATTCCATCTCTGTTAATGGAGAATGGGCTCCATGAGGCCAAGACACTTGCCCAAGGTCACCCAGCCTCCCTAGGTGTGGTAGAGTTGGGCAAGTTGTTTCCCAAGGGTGTTAAGTGTGAGAGCTGTGAGCTCCCCCTTGGAGCACTAGTGTGACACTGTATTTGTGCAGCCTCCAGGCAGGGACTGTGCAGCACCTTGGGAGAGCACTTGCCTAGCGTGTGGGAAGCCCTGGGTTTCGTTACGAGCATCTCAGAAAACCGAAGAAAAAAAAAAAAAAAAAAGAATTGGGGTTTTCATTTTCCAGACACAGAATCAGCCCTTGAGGGGATGTGGTTTGCCCGGAGTCCACCCTAGGAGAGGAGGCAGGGCCTGGCCGTGACTGTGACTTCCAGCCTGTCCGTCATCAGAGCCCACAAACCTTATGACCCAGGGGTCTGTCGGATCACTGGGTCTCAGACTGAATGCTAGGTGTGTACAAGTAGGGGTGTAGCACAGACATTTAGAATTTTCTAGAATATTTCAGAATAAGGATGGCTTCATCAGTGTCTCTAATCTTTAGGCTAGAATCCACTCAGACTTGCAGAGTATTCTAGAGCATCAGAATGTGGCAGGGTGTAGGCCAGCGTGGGAACTGAGCCCCTGGCCACAGACCCTGGCTGCCCTATTGCTCAGCAGTCTTTGCCCTCGCTGCCCTGGGGCTCTGTTTGGAGGAAAGCTGGGGGAGCTCTGAGGAAGGCCCAGCTCAGGTCACCTGCCCTCTCTCTGCTCTGTTGTCTGCTGTCTAACGTGGGTGCTGGAAGCAGTCATCCCAGCAGTTGCCGTGGGGTGACAGTGGGTGGCAGGCTCTTAAGTGCCTTTGCAGGGGTGCTGAGCCTTGTGCCTGCTCAGCTGGCATTGGCGTTGGCTGTTTGGTGGTTCCTGGGATGGCCTGGGGCATGGGAGAGACAGCAGCCGGAATGGCTGAGAGTGTGGACAGTGGTCTCCTGAAGTCACGGGGGCATCAGGAGCTACTTTTGCTCACAAGCCCTTTGACTCTGTTTGTTTAGTATTTAAACTCGGTGTGTGTCGTGCTTCCGTAGAGACGTACTCGCAGCACAGCAGTGGTTACAAACCAAGCAAGGGCTTGCTGGGTGCCCCTGGGAGGCCCTGTGACTGCCTCATTTCATGGCTGGGTAAACTGAGGCCCAGACATCCCAGGGCTGGGGTTTGAAGCCGGAGGAGGGGCCTACTCCAATGTCTCTTCTGGACCTCTCTGTCTGGAACAGCTGTTGGTCACTGAGCCAGTTCCCAGCACCAGCATCGTCACCCCTAAATCTGTCCTGTTGGAGCTGGGGAAGTGCCTCAGTGGCAGTGCACTTGCCCAGCAAGGCCCTGGGTTCCATCCCCAGCACCAGAAAACAGATCTGCCATGCCCACTGTCCAGCCTTCTTGGGTCAGCCAGCTTGGCAGTGGCAGTGTGGTCATCACGTGTTTAGCTCGCACCCTCTGCAGCCAGCAGAGCTTGGCGGGGGCTTGGGGACATAGGGCCACCCAATGACAGGTTCGTGTCCCTGCTTCCTGGCAGGGAATGGGCTGTTGAGAAAGAAGACACTGGTCCCAGGCCCACCTGGCTCAAGCCGACCTGCCAAGGGGCAGGTGGTCACCGTGCAGCTGCAGATGTCGCTGGAGAATGGCACACGGGTACAGGAGGAGCCAGAGCTGGTGTTCACCTTGGGCGACTGCGACGTCATCCAGGTTGGAGAGGGAGGAGGTGGGTGGGGGCAGGATGGGCACCTTGCCAGGCTGGGCCGTACCTGAGTCCCTCTGGCCCTGTCCACCCCAGGCCCTGGACCTCAGTGTCCCCCTCATGGACGTGGGCGAGACGGCCATGGTTACTGCTGACTCCAAGTACTGCTACGGCCCCCAGGGCAGGTGAGCGCCACCACATGGGTCCCAGCCAAGTGGGGGACGCTGTGGGATGTCCCCCGGCTCTCCCCGTCTGCCTGCTCGCTTTATAGAAGAGGCGACTGAGACTTAGGGAAGAACACCTGCTAGCCAAGTCACGCAGCTCAGGGGTGGCAGGGTGACTTCCCTATTTCACTGAGGAGGGGTGTCGATGGGCACAGCTGGAACTTGAGGCCCTTCCCTCCTGCCCCAGAGTCAACCCAGCGAGCCTGGGGCGAGGGCCAGTGCCGCCGGGTCTGAGTGCGCCCGCCTGTCCCACCTCCCCAGCAGGAGCCCCTACATCCCCCCGCACGCGGCCCTGTGCCTGGAGGTCACCCTGAAGACGGCCGTGGATGGGCCTGACCTGGAGATGCTGACAGGGCAGGAGAGGGTGGCCCTGGCCAACCGGAAGCGGGAGTGTGGCAACGCCCACTACCAGCGAGCGGACTTCGTGCTGGCCGCCAACTCCTACGACCTTGCCATCAAGGCCATCACGTCCAGCGCCAAAGGTGACCGACTGGCTCTGGGTCAGATCCCCACCACCGCCCCACAGAGGTGTTCCTCCAGCTCAGCTCAGAAGCCCCCAGCCCCGGGGTCCTGGGCTCGGAACCCTAAACCCTCCAGATGGTGCCCCTCCAGCCTTGATGTACCCGAGGCCAGTGGGAATGTCGCGAAGGCGGGTGAACAATGGGCCATGGCAGGTGGCATCAGTCCCTGTGCCCCTCCAACACTCCCTCCATGAGGTGCCAAGAATCAGACGCTGGAGCCTGGGGAAGGTGTGGCCCTGGCCCCGTGAGTCGGGAGGACCCAGCTCCCCGACCCTGGTGGATGGCAGCCGGCGCACCTCAGAGGCACGGGTCCTGGGGGCTGGTGGTGCAGTGACCACTGTCCTCCACAGTGGACATGACTTTTGAGGAGGAGGAGCAGCTCCTGCAGTTGAAGGTGAAGTGTCTGAACAACCTGGC